CTCGCTGCCCAGGCGGGTCTTGAACCCACGGGTTCAGGCAATCCACTCACCTCAGCCTCCCAAAAGGTGCGGGATTACAGGCTGAGCCACCGAGCCTGGCTCAGACATGTTTTCACCGTGCGTAAAGTCAGCGCCCTCTCCACAGTCACTGATGCATAAACATGGAGGAGATTTCATTGGCCAACCTGGATACTAACAAGCGAGAGGCCATCGCGCAGGAGTTTGACATAGACCTCATAGAGGATTCTTGTTTGTGTGGAAGGGGGCTTAAAAAAGCATCTACACTACTTGGAAGGCTGAGGCAGAAGGATCCCCGGATCCCAGCAGGTCGAGGCTGCGGTGGCCGGGAGCAACCACTGCACTCCAATCTGGGTGACAGAGTGAGACTCCAACTCAAAACAAACAAACAAACAAAAAACATCCACAATGTCAAAAGTTAGGCTAAGCATGTACTCAACCTTTGTACAGTTTAAAAAAAAAAAGTTCCCTTCCTGGAAACTGGCAACAGCACCTGCTGGCTAGGTTAAACTATTTAACAGCTTTTATTTTTCCGCTTCTGTGAACCCTGCTAGCATTGCTTGAAAGGTACCTAGGCCTCCAGGATGTTGCAGTTTGGCCCACTTGGAAAGTCCCAATGTGGTTTTCCCCCATTTAAGCAAGCACCTATAGCTAATGGACACCTCTCGCTGTGGGACTCTTATGTCCAGCAGGCAAGTGGCCGCCAGCCCGGCTCTTGGCTAATAAAAACCTCTCTTCTTTATAACTTGTACTTTTGGTGTTGGTGTCTGTGAATTAAGCACTCGGTCCCTATTTCATTTGGGGTTCTGCTTTGAGGTGCACCTGGCAGTCAAGTGTGGCCACTTCTTCTACCTGGAGTTCGCAGAGACTGGGAGCGTGAAGGATTTTGGCATTCTGCCCATGGAAGACAAAGGCACGTGCCGCCTCCGGCTCTGCTCCCTTCCCGGAGAACCTGAGAATGGGCTCGATCAGCTGCTGCAGCGCTCACCTCCGGAATTCAGTAGTTGCAACACGAAAGCCTCTGAGCGTGACCAGGACAACGGCATAGACTGGTCCTATGGTTTGGAGGAGTAAGCTAAATAGGAAAAGAAAGAAAAAAAAATCCAACAAAAGTGCAAATTCCCCTTGAAGATCCTAGCGTTTGAAAAACCCACTTGGAGAGTTAAGGAATTCCTTTTCTGAGTGTATTTCCTGAGGTCAGCTCTTTAGCCAGGGGCAGGAGGAGTTGACCAGCCTGTGCGCAGTGCCATGTGTGTATACATCTAAACACACGAGGGTGTGCCCAAGGTCCTGCAGTGCCCCTGTTTCGCAGATGGGCGGTGTGTGCCCGACATGGAAAATTTTCGGTTACTCTGCCTGATGTCAGGGGCTTCCTCGACATTGTGGACATTACTAAGTTGGTCAGAGCCATAATCAGTGGCCTAAGCGGGACTGCTCTTCTGATCTCTAAGCCTCTGATTTGGGCTTCTTTGAGATAAATGAAAAAGTCAGATGTGAGATCTGTATGCTAACAATTTCAATTTGAGAAAACCAAGAAAAAGAACTCCCAATCAGAATTGGTAGGGAAACTCTGTAGCCTTGAGTCCAACAAGAAGAAAAGATAAAAACTGCCGGTTTCTCAAAGGTCCAGCTGATTTCAACCAGATTGAGGACTAGGCCAATCCTTTGGCTGAGTAGAGCCCTCTCTTGCCCTCGCCTCTGGTGGCACAGGCTTGCAAATGTACAATTTTGCTGTCCAAGCAGACTGAGGATTCAGTTTTGATCTCCTGGAGAAGTAGCAGGGACCCTCTGCAACTATGCATGATTTCTCAAACTGCAAGATTCATATCTGGATGTATTATCTTATATCTGTGGATATTAAGTTTGTTGGGCAGTCATTTTCTGAATTACTGGTAACCTAACCAGTCCATGGGTGTGGCTTGGTCATTATGCCAAGTCACTATCTGCCTCCCACTCCAGGGGCAGGCCTGAACTGTAGAAGAGAATCATGACTGTGTAAGAGGCTGTGGTTTGAAAACTGAGCCTAGAAGGGACCTCTTCCACCTGCCCTCAGTAATGTGAATGGGTTAGTGCTAGGAGCCGAGGAGCAGGACTGGGCCATCTCTCATCTGATTGTGTGCAGAAATAATCCTGTCGAATGCCCCTGTTTCTTTGGTTGGGCACTCAGAGCTCTGCTATGGTGAACATCCAGACCATCACCACATTCTCTCCCTATCACAGAGGACAGTTCATTCCACTAGGTTCCCTTTGGATCTTCTTGACAACAAGAGCTGTCCTTTTATTGTTTCGAGTCAGAGAAGGACCTCCAGAATTTCCTGGCTTCAGGGAATGGGATAGGGGAAAATGGGAAGTGACAGTCACATACCAAAACTACACTTTACTCCCTGAGAGAGGTTTGTGAAGCATAGCGGGGTGGGAGCCCCACAGTGAACGGGAATGGTGCTGCTTTATTTGAAATGTTTTCTTACCTCATTCTGTGCCCCAGTAAGGGGCCCAGCCTTATCTGTCTGACTTGGCCCCATGTTCCTCTTGTCCCTTGCTCCACTGCCTGACTGGTGCAGCTCATGACCCCAGGCGCTGCTTGCCATTCCAGCTTTCACATTGACCAGTTGCAACCCATCTCTCTTAGTGCTCATGCTTCTGAAGTCTGCCCAGTTTTCTTGTTTCTTTTTTCTTTTTTTTTGAGTTGGAGTCTCACTCTGTCGCCCAGACTGGAGGACAGTGGCCGCTCCTGGCCACTGCAGCCTCGACCTGCTGGGCTCCAGCGATCCTTCCGCCTCAGCCTTCCAAGTAGCTGGAACTACAGGTGCGTGCTATCACACCTGGCTAATTTTTGATTTATTGTAAAGATGAGGACTCGCCAAGTTGCCCAGGCGGGTCTCGAACCCGCGGGCTCAGGCAATCCACTCACCTCAGCCTCCCAAGGCGCGGGATTACAGGCTGAACCACCGAGCCCGGCCCAGTTTTCTTTTCCTTGGCTTCCTTCAAGTATTTTGTTTTTCTTTTCCTATTTTTGTAGAAGACTTAAGAATCTTTATTATGGCTTTCTCTGTTGGGATTGGAATTGGAAGAAAATATAACTTTTTGTATTTAAAAGGCAGTGTAATACCTAAGCATTTCTCCTGCATAGGACTGCCTTGCTAGTGTGCTCTCCCTACTGTGTCTTACTTCATGAGGAATTATATCTTCTTGCCTCCACTCGGGTACTACCTCTTAGGACCTAAGCAGAAGAGCAGTAAAGGCGGATGTATATAGGGATGGAGCTGGTCCAGCTCTATCCATTCTCTAACCCTTGCTGTGCAATTACTCTTCCATTTCCCAGAAGGAACTATTTGGACTGTATGGGTTGACTTTGTTTATGTACTATTGAGTGTTAAGCATACCATAGACCTTGGGCCTCGAGACTGTCTATTAATGCTTTATCTTCTTAGGGTTGTCTTGATTAGGTTCTGGGTCAAGTTACATATTGGTCTTCAACTGAAGAATTGTAATAACTTTATGAGACTGACGCGCTGCCTACTGCGCTAACGGGGCTCCCTGTAATAACTTTTTAAAAAGTCAAAGCTTTGGAGGAGCTAAAGTAATGTTGGCTTATCTTTGCCCTTGACTTTTTGTAGACATCTAAGAGGATAGAGAGGGACAGGAGGGTCTAAGTGAGACTGTGACCTAATTCCTGACAATGTCTTGGAAGTTGGATAAAGGTAAGGGAGAAGTCATGGTCTAATCATTCTTTTAGCTAGGGAACACAGATCATGATATTACTGTTTTCTTTCTGGCCTTTTCTCTTGGTTATAGCAGGAAGTGGGATATAGTCTTAAATAATGATTTGTGGCTGGGCTCAGTGGCTCAGCATGTAATCCCAGGACTTTAGGAGGCCGAGGTGAGTGGATTGCCTGAGCCCGCGGGTTCGAGACTCGCCTGGGTAACTTGACGAGACCTCGTCTCTACAATAAATCAACAAAAAAAATTAGCCGGGCATGGTAGCACGCACCTGTAGTTCCAGCTACTTGGAAGGCTGAGGCGGAAGGATCGCCGGAGCCCAGCAGGTCGAGGCTGCGGTGGCCGGTAGCGGCCGCTGCACTCCAGTCTGGGCGACAGAGTGAGACTCCAACTCAAAAAAAAAAATGATTTGTTCACATTACATCCCAACCTTTGTGTGTGTATGTGTCCCTCTATCAATAGGGCAGTAGCCCCCTCCTGTCCCGAGTAGATGTAGGTGGGCTTGGTCCAACAGGCGCCCTGAGGGTACAGACTCTTTTGGGGAGAAAATGCTCCCTACCATGTAGTTGACAGTGTTTAGGAACTCTCCCTTTCTGTACTACCTTTCCTTTAACAACAGAATCTTATTCTCTCCTCTTCAGTTAAGTATATTGATCACCTTGTAATCCTATTATGTATCTGAGTGCGTGTGTGTGTGTGTATGTGTGTGTGTTACGGGGAAAAGGAGTGCTTTAAAATTTTATGTGGTTTGTGGCTTTTTCTTTCATTAATTCCCTCCACTACCGCAAACCCAGGGACCACTGCCTGGCATTATTGCATGCTGGGATCATTGGGAGGAGGGTTGTGAAGCTCACCACTGTCCTTTGCTTTGGAAATAATTATTTTTGCATAAGTAGTCCATCCTATACAGATAGCTGATGTGTATTCCCCTTGCTCCTATGGCTGCTGGTGTAAATAACTTGCATCTCCCCATTGGTAAACAGTAAGAATAAACAAAATTTTAAAAAATGAAAAAAAAAAATCAGCTGGCACCACTAGTGCCAATTATACAACCGTCCTGGGTGTTGTGTCTTCCCTAGAGCACACTAATGCAATCCTAGGTACATGGCATATGGCTTTAGATTTGGTGGCTACACGCTTTCTTATCCTTATTCTTAGAAAAGAGAATCAGAAGCAGTTTGCATTCAAGTAGAATGGACCATAGCACAAATGTACAGTTTTGCTCTAGGGCTATGTAACTCTACTGTTCTGTCATATTACAGTCCAAAGAGATCTAGACTATCTTAACATCCTGCACAACATCATATTGATAAATGACATGCTAATCAGATGGAGTGAGCAAGGGGTGTGAGTTGCCATACAGAAATACCCGAGGCTGGGTAATTTATAAAGAAAAGAGGTTAATTCTGGTTGAAAGTTTTGCATGGCGTTGGCATCTGCTGGACTTCTGGTGAGGCCTCAGGAAGCTTACAATCATGGTGGAGAGGGAGAAGCCATGTCATAAGGCAAGAGAGGGAGGATGAGATGCCAGCCTGTTTTATTTTTATTTATTTATTTATTTATTTTTTGAGTTGGAGTCTCACTCTGTCGCCCAGACTGGAGTGCAGTGGCCGCTCCCAGCCACCCTGGCCGCGACCTGCTGGGCTCCGGCGATCCTTCTGCCTCAGCCTTCCAAGTAGCTGGAACTACAGGTGCGCGATACCACACCCGGCTAGTTTTTGATTTATTGTAGAGATGAGGTCTCGCTGCCCAGGCGGGTCTCGAACACGTGGGCTCAGGCAATCCACTCACCTCAGCCTCCCAAAGTGCGGGATTACAGGCTGAGCCACCGAGGCCGGCTAACTTTTTTTAAACAACCAGCTTTTATGTGAACCAATAGTGCTGGATGGTTGTATAATTGGTGCTAGTGGTGCCAGCTGATTACTGTGAGAAAGACACCAGGACATTCATGAGGGATGTGCCCACACACCCAAACACTTTCCACTAGGCCCCACCTCCAACATCTGGGATCATATTTTAATATAAGACTTAGAAAGGACAACATCCAAGCCATATCCAGGTGGCTATCAGGCTGGAATTCTTCATGATGCTGGAAGACACACCCACTTCAGGATGTGAAATAAACCTTATGAAGATTCAGGAACTTGACACAAGAGTGGAAAGTGATCAGGTGCATGCTGGGATAGTCCACGTAAAATAGGCCAGGCATGGAGACTCATGCCTGTAATCTCACTTTGGGAGACTGAAGCAGGAGGATTGCTTGGAGCCAGGAGTTCAAGACCAGCTTGGGCAACATAGTGAGATCTCATCTCTACTACTAAAAAAAAAAAAATTTTTTTTTTTTTTTAATTAGC